CCGAAAAAAGACATTAGTGGTGTGCCTCTGGTCTGGAGACAGTATGATTCTTCTCCAAATGTGATTTGTGTGTGTGTGTGTGTGTGTGTTTACGCATATATAAGGCCATGAAGAAATGGATTGATGACACAGATTCCCTGAAGTTCCTGATGCCCGGAGTCCTGATAGGAAAAGGACGAAAATCCAACTTTAACGGCTCAGGTGGGAATCAAAAACACACACACACACATATATATATATATATATATATATAGACATATATATATAAAATCCAGAGCGAGCAGAGCTGAAATATAGATAAATAAGCAGCTTCTAAAATAAAGCCAGATGATATGTTTGAAAATGAAGAAATTAAGAATGAAAAAAAAATTAGTATTATAACCTTAGAGTTGTACTATAAAATAAAACGCGTATTATTATAAAACATTATGATATTTCTCAATTTGTTGAATATTTTAATTTAATATATTTTATAATTGATATTTAGTAATTTTACAGTACAATTATTACTATTTTTTATATTTTCATTGATAAATAATCACAATTGTCTGGCCAAATTGTGCAGCCCTAAAAATCAGGCACTTTTCTTTCTTTATTAAAAACGTGCATTTCATATCAAAACTTGAGCACACACACTTTTAGTATTAAAATGTATTAAAATATGCCAGCTCAATGTATTAAAGTATTAGTATTAAGTGTTTTGTTTACTTATTGATGGATATTATTTTTATATTACTGTTTTCATTTGAATTTTAGTTCAAGTTATTGTTATTTTAATGCTTCTTTAATATGTCATTGTAGCTTTAGTTAAGTAACTTTAGTTCTTCATCTCAGTACTGAGCAGTTCTCATCGAGTAGTTTAGCTTTGAACTGTTGCCAAACTGCCTAGAAACATAATAATAATGAAACACACTCGACCAATTAGGGTTATAACTGTTGTCAAACATAAAACGATATCTAATAATCTCATGGACTCTTGAGCGCTGTCCAGTTGAAATGTGAATAATCTGTGCCATAGTGATGACTCCGACCAATAAGAAGGGTGTGTTGGACTCGTTCAAGAGCTCAGATCAGAGTAAGATACTCATCGCCACCTCGGTCGCCGATGAAGGCATCGATATCCCACAATGCAACCTGGTTCTGATGTACGAGTACGTGGGTAACGTGGTGAAGATGGTGCAAGTTCGAGGTAACAAACATTTACACTCTTTCACACTCATATAAACACATTGTGTGAATCGCTGTATGTGTGTGTGTGATGGTGGGCAGGTTTAGGTTTAGTGTAGGGGATAGAAAATACAGTTTTTACAGTATAAAAATCATTATGGCTAATAGGCTTGCCGCAATAGACGGTGTTGACGGTGTTACCGGGTTACCGGTTACCGCGATGTCTTGACTTTTTTTTTAAAGTATTCGTTTTTGCTAAAATATTTATTTGAATTAATTAAAAAAATAATAATTTTCAATTATTTAGTTCAGAAGAGAGAATTATAATTAAAAATGAACTGGAAAAATGAACATCAGGATTCCATTTAGCACGTGTGGAGACGAGAACGAGTCAAATTACAGAAAAGCAAGATAATGGCGGGAGATTTGGTGTCAAAACGCAATGCAAAAGCGTGGTTTTTTTTTTTTTTTTGTCCATTCCAGCAATTGACGCTTATTTCGAAAGTGAAAGTATGTCATTTATGTAGGCTAAGGTCCTTTTTGAAGTTTTTATTTTATATTCGTCTCTTTTTAATGGGTTTTATCTTATTTAAACTTTGTGTAGTTTATTTAGGCCTATTTTGTTTTCTTATTCGTTAATAAACGTTTTATGGTTCTTATTTGTTTGGGCCCACAGTTTGCCGATTTTCACTTTTTTCAGCCAATGCATGGGGTTATTTTTATGCGTTCGTTATGCTAATAAATGTTCTGTCTATATTTTATTAGTTCGTTATGCTAATAAAAGTTCTGTCTATAAATAAACGTTTTTTTATCAGCGAGTTGTTTTTTTGTCCATTCAAGAAATTGACGCTGAATTGCCAATTGACGCTTATTTCGAAAGTGAAAGTATAACACGCACGCATTTAAAAGCTAGTTAACCCCCCGCCCCGCCCTCCACGGTGACACCGGGATTACCGGTGTTGTCACACGTTGATTAACCGGTGGGAAATTTTCCTCACCGCGGCAACCACAATGCCTAATGTTTTAGTTTTGCAAAACAAACCTCCGTGTGTGTGTGTGTGTGTGTAGGTCGTGGCCGTGCGCAGGGCAGTCGGTGTTTCCTGATCTCCAGTAATAAGGATCGCATCATGAAGGAGAAAATGAACATGCTGAAGGAGAAGCTGGTGGAGGAGGCGATCGTGGAGCTGCAGAAACTCCCTGATCTCAGTTACAAGGTTCTGCACTTTCACTGCATGTTTTAAACATCAGCTGTGTGACGGCCATCGCTTCATCTGTGTGTGTGTGTGTGTGTGTGTGTGTGTTCAGGTGGACAGGTTGCAGAGAGAAGATAAGGCCCGGAGGGATCATGTCAGCGCCAGTCCCCAAAAACCCAAAAAACAAGGCAGTTATCGGCTCCTCTGTGCAAAGTGCAAGACGTTCGCGTGTTCGAGTGACGACCTCAGAGTCGTGCAGGTCGGCCTTCATCATTCAACACATCACCACATTAATACAGAGGGGGCTGCACTATACATTGAAATACATGTGAAATCGTGATGTGTGTGATTATCAAATCACAAATGCACTGCATGAGTGAAGCGGGGAAAGTACGATCGTCTCATAACAGTAATAATATATTTCTCTTCATTTTTAACAATTAGTTCGAAATACTAAAATACTTCAACTACCTGTCACCCCCCTTTTTGATAATTGACATTAAAATGCACTATACAAACTTAAATGGTTGTAATTCAAGAATGCTTTGGAATATATATACCCAAGTTTGGTCTTGTTTTAAAGAAAACAATCAGCAGATTATTGCTGAAGTGAAAGCACTTCAAAAAATTAAAGTATAAAAAAGTTATGGAAGTTAGAATTTACAGTAAATCAAAAATTAATTTATTAATAATTTTTTTTTAATATAAAATAAATATTTTACAGAATATTTTTACTATAAAATTACTATAAAATGAAAGCTATATATCTAACCAAGTTGTGTTCCAAATTTAAAGTTGATATCACAAATTTTGAAGTTCCCATGAGATTCTGTTTAGGCGTTATACCAAAAATAGCCACCGGGTGCCGTTGAATTCCATTGAATTTAATTGTATGCATTCTGCCATAACAAATTAATAAATTTCTATCCAAATATCGCTTCTGTCACTAAATATGGAACCTTGAGACTCAGACCTTTCTGACAATATGTGTTTTGGCAAGATTAGAAAAGGTTTTGATAATAAATTATGAAAGATGATGCCCAAAAGGGGAGGGGCCTAATAAAAAATACCGTTTCTATGGTAACGCAACGTCCAATTTCAAAATGGTTTTCACAGAATGAATTCTGAGTTCGTAAGCTTTCAAATGATAACCTAATTTATGATAACTACTAAAATATGTGATATAATAATAAAAAAAATATATATTTATATATACAGTATATATATTATACTTTTTAGAGGACTTCTTACCTTACTTTTTAAAATATAATTTTATCTTTTTTTATTGACAAATACTAATTATGTTTTATTATGAACTTTTAGCACTAAAAACCAAAGTTTCAATTATTAAAAGTGCGTGCGTCAACTTTTTGAGTCAAACTTTTTTGAAGTAAATTTAGATAGTTAAGGGGTTAAACCACAGGCTTAAACAACTTATATTAAAAACAACTTATTTTAAAAAAACAACTTATAAACAACTTATATTAAAAAAAAAATCTTCCAACTTTTTAAAATACTTATCTAAAAATAACTTTAAACTTAAAGCTTTTCAAACTACTTATCTTAAATATAAACAACCCAATTCACACTCCAAAAAAATGAAATGCTTAATTTGCCTGCGTGTGCGGTCACATGTGACGATTAACCAGCACTAACAAACCATAAACATGTGATTGTTCATTTAGTTCTTAAAACTTAAAATCTCATAGGGAATTCAAGTTAATATTTTATATATTGTTATTATTATTATATATATTTTTATATATTTTTTTATTTTTATATACATATATATATATATTTTTTAATTTTTTCTTATATGTGGAGAGTTTTCATGGCATCTGTTTGTATATAGTTCGTGAGCTTTGATTTGTATCTGGTATGTTAACTTAAAATAAAAAATATTGATCACAAAAAAATTCTGATTGAGAAAATCTTCACGGCACTTTTCAGAGCCATAAACGCCGTGTCCCCGGTTTTACTGAGGATGTGTTCATTTTAGGAGCATGTTTCTGTCTGTCTATCATCTTTCTCACACTCTCTGTCCCGCAGAAGTCTCATCACATCGCTCTGGATCGCTCCATGTTCGAGCGCTTTACAACTTTTCCTCATAAGAAACCAATATCCTTCGATAACTTCACTAAGAATAAGAAGATGCTCTGTGGCAACTGCAAACACGACTGGGGTCTCATCGCCTCTTACCTCACCATCCAGGTAACACACACCTGTCAACTCTTTCTGCTTCTGTTATCTTACTGTCATTGAGTTGCTTTTATAGATTTTGTTAATATTTTGAATTAGGTTTTATTTTTATAATTCCTGTTTTAATTTTTTAATTTTTTAGTTTTTGTAATATTCTAGTTTTTGCAATGTTTTTAACATGTCTGTATATTTTTTAACTCACGCTAATCTACAGTTAGAACTGTTGCCTAGCTGAAATAAAAATACATTTGAGTTATTTTTATAGTGTCATTACAAATAATGTTTTTTTTGTTAATATTTTTAATCAGATTTCATTTTTCATTCAAAGTTTTAGTAATTTGCTTGTAATTTTTATTTGTGTTTTAATGTGTCTGAGTTTTTATTTTTAGTTTTAGTTTGTTTTTTGTTTTTAGATTTTCAGCAGTGTTATTGTCAAGACTATTATAGTTTTTTGTCAATATTTTGATTTAGAATTTTGTATGTTTTGATTTTTAAGTTTTAGTAATTTTTTGTTTTTTATATTTCACATTTTTAACGTGTCAGTATAGTTTTAGGGGATATTCTCATTGACGGACCAGAAACTGTTTGGTTACTGATATTCTTCTAAATATCAGAAAATCGGTATTTTTTTAGAGTATCCCTATAAGTTTTAGTTACTTTAGTACTTGCAACTCACACTAAACTAGAAACACTAAACACAAAACAATTATAAATGTTGCCTAGCTGAAATAAAACAAGTTTTAGTTATTTTCATATGTATCATTGAGATAATATTATGGTTTTTGTTCATATTTTGAATGAGGTTTATTTTAATATTTAAATTCAAGTTTTTGTCATTCTTGTTGTGTGTGTGTTTATAATGTTATTTAGTTTATTTATTTTTAAATATGTCAGTTTAGTTGTTGTTTTTTAGTTTGAGTTACTTTTCAACAAAATAAAAGTTTTAGTTATTTTGCCTTTTTTTAAATGTCTGAAATAAAATAAATCATATTAGCTTATATAATTGGTTAGTATAATTATTATAAGTTAAATACTAACCCTGATTCTGAGAAGATGAAACTGAAATTAAAAACCATCTTGAACAGATATATTATATAAATCTTAAACATCTAAAAACTAAAGGTCTAGCAGGACTCAATTGGCCTCTGGGGTTAAGTGTGTTGAGCGTTGATCAGTATCGGACCATAAACGAATGTATTGTTGTTGTGTTGTGACTCCAGGACCTGCCGCTGTTGAAGATCGAGAGTTTCGTGGTGCAGGATAGTGTCACTGAAGAGCAGTTTTACTTCAAGAAGTGGTGTAATGTGACGTTTGCCATCCAAGAGTTCGACATGAAGGAGATCACGCCTCAAACATGGCCGCTGAGAGACTGAGGACGGCAAACAACACATTTTACGCTTAAATACTTCTTATCTCACTCTAAATTTGAATTCCAAGTACTTTTTATATATATATATATATATATAATTTGATTGTGTAATCCACAATCCATACAATGCTTTTCTTACTTTACTATTTCTGTCTTGTTTCCAGTCCAAATATTTAAAAATTCTTAAATCAAGATGGATTTACTAGATGAGTAAAATGACAAGATATTGAGTCTTGTCTTCTGGGAAATATATAAAAATTAAGTGAGTTTTTGCTTAAAACAAGCAAAATGGGATAAGAATAATCTTAACAATATTATTTTTCTTGCCCCATTGGCAGATCATTTTGCTTGTTAGCAAAAAATCATTTAATTTTTATTTATTTCCCCAGAAAACAATATGTCATTTTACTCATCTAGTAAATGCATCTTGATTTAAGAAATGTTTGATATTTGGACTGGAAACAAGACATGAGAAAAGCATGTTTCTCTTTATAACCCAACACAAACATATAGATCTATATATAAATATAGAATTAGTCTTTGTGTTGATGTTACATGTTGAGCTTGATTGCAAAAGTCTTGTCTAATAATAAGTCAACAGTTTTTATTTTTTATGTGTATTTTAACATTTCAATTTAATCTCGGACAGGACGATTTTCCTGTTAAATTCTACTGATTAATTAGACATGACTATTATTTTAAAAAACATAATAGCTGATAATGAAATTATGTGATATGAATGATACATTTTATGTCAACTGAAGCTTAATAAAATAAAAGAATGCATGTCATTAAAATATTAAGTATTTTATGTAAAAAACAAACGAGAGCCTATTTTAGAACCATTTTTGTATTTTAACCACTTATATATATATATATATATATATATATATATATAGATAGATAGATAGATCCGTGATTGTAATGTTTAAGTCAATTAAACACAATTTTTATTTTTATGTAATTGTCAGTACGGTTAGACAACACATTTATATAATTGTTTTTTATGCATCATATGATGAAACTGCTCTTAAACTCTGATAGGCCTCTGTAAAAATCATCACATTAGAAAAACAGAAATGATAAAAAAATATGGACACGTTATACAGTAATAAAATATTTTTTTGGGGGAAAAAATGCATTATTCACAATTAAAAAAAAAAAAAAAAAAAACGTTTTAATTGTCCTAAAAGTAGGAAGTTTTTCCCTATAATTCTCTGGATAGATGATCCGCCCTGTGAGGTGGAAAATAGTTCAATTAAAACATTGAATGGCAGTCTATAAAGCCTCGAGGTAATGATGCTTGACATTCCCAGTGTTCCCGCGCATGCGGAGCAGAACCTGGTGTGTGTGTGTGTGAGGAATAACAGCGTTCATCAAAGCACGAGCCGTCAGTGTCACTGCCAGTGTGTGTGTGTGTGTGTGTGCGGGGGTTCGGGAATTTAGGACAGGTTTACTGACAAGAACTGGCTCTTGCATGGAAATATTCATGCCTTTACAGCCTTTGATTCATATAATATAATATACACTTATATAATATACATATACACACACATATGTACAGTATATATGTGTGTGTGAAGGTGTATCAAAGCAGCTTTACAGAAAATGACTGAATGCCGGCAGATTTCGATCTGTAAAGAAAAGTCTTTGTTCTGTTGTTAATTCATATATGCCTTCCGACTTATATTAATATTCAACAATTATTTCTCGTTTAATCTTCAGATGATTTTGTGAGATTAATAATTTATCATTCACTGTTTTTTAGATTTTAGAAATATATGGATTTTAAGTATTGTAAGATTTATATGCATGTATAGATAGATGTGTGTGCAGATACATATCCAGATTTATACGGATAAGAAGAACTTTAATATGTGATTAATATGTGTATATTGTAGTATTTTAGTTTTTAAATATGGCTAGGAGAATGTCTTTGCCCATCACACACACACACACACACACACACACTAACAGGCGAGTGTGTGATGTAAATCTCAGCCGGAGTGAAGGCATCTCAGCCCCTCCCTTATTCTAGAACACAGGACTCCATGTCATTGTAATTCATGTTGCCTAGCAACATGGGAGTCGTCATAGAGGCCCAACAATAAAGAGATGACATGTACAGTGATGTGCGGAGCGCTTTAACGCCGAGATGTGCCTCCGCCATCTTTCCCTGCTCATCTGAGCTCGAAGAATCAGAATTAGAAACGCCATTTAAACGCTCTCCGAGTGACATCTTATCTCGCCGCTCCGTCAGCGTTATCTAGCCCAAATCAGGCCGTACGCATTTAACAAAACACGCCAGTGGTAAATAAATGCAAAGCACACAGGATATCACAGTTCAAAAAGGATCACATTTAATCAACAAGCCATCCTAAGAGTCTCTTATTCATCAAGACAGTGAGGCGTCACAACAGCAATAAACAAAGTTATTTCTTAAAGTCTTTAGTTAAAAACAAAACACTTTTCTACCCATGCAACAGAAAGGTGCTTTAAAGGAATCGTTCACTCTTAAAATCGTTTACTCATTGCTTTCTTCAGTGGAACGAGGTGTTTTTTACATCCGTCCATCACGTCTTCAGTTAAACGGAGCCTATTGTACAGTAGTCCACGACTACTTTAATAATGTTTGTTCTACCAATAACCTTCGTTTGTCTTCCACAGGAGAAAGCAAGTGTTTCGAGTGACGCGAAGGCAAGGTCGTCGCACACCGAGTCCGAAATTTTCGCACGTTAAAAAATAAATACGACCTCTCGTTGTGTCAATCGTGTTTACACACTGCCTCCAAAACTTTCATCAGACATAAATTCGTTTTTTTTTTTTTTTTTTCGCATCCGTAGCGAGCATTTTGAGAGGTGACGAACGCGAAAAAACGCTTACGAAGATTTCGGACTCTGTGCGAGGACCTTAAAGGGTTAGTTCACCCAACAATGAAAATCCTGTCAGTAATTATTCACCCTCATTTCGTTCTAAACCCGCAAGACTTCTCAATCATTAAGCCTTAATCGTTCTTAATGGTCTAGACCGTTAATCTTAGACTGTTTTTGCTGAAAAAACTCCATTGCTCCATTGATAGCTACTTTGAAGGCCCAGTAAGGTAGGCAAGACATTGTTCAATTAGTCCATGTGACTACAGTTTTTTTTAATACTTTTTGTGCGTCAAAAAAAAACTAAATAGCAACTTTATTCAACAATTTTCTTCTCTTGCGAATCAGTCTTCTTCTGTTTGTAAAGCGTTTTTACGAGGTCTTTCCCGCCTTTTTTTAGTTAATGATCTGTGAGAATGGATCTTTATTAATATCAGTCGTTGACTCGAGTAACTTTTTTGGCATTTGTTTATAAAGTGTTCTATTTCTACAATATATGGTGTAAAAACGTCTTAGTGCTGCCCTCTTCAGGTTGAACGGTGGCTACTGCAGTTGAATTTTCCTATTGGATGTTTGCGGTGGTACGTGACACAGCGGTTGTTGGTGACGTAGGCAAGTTCCATACAAAGAGATGCGTCTCAGGTGCACGCCCCCCTTCGCTGGGCTCCGCCCACTTTTCCAGCATTTTTCAAATATTGCCAGTGGGTGGAGTCAGGCTCTGACCAGGGGTTTAGTTACCCTTTAAAGTGTTAATTAAATAGCTGTCATTGGATTCCAGCAAAAACATCTTAAAATTTGTGTTCTGAAAGATGAACGAAGGTGCGGGTTTGGAACGGCATGAGGGTGAGGAATTACTGACTGTCCTTTTTGGGTGAACTGTCCCTTTAAATGTTGGATTTCAGCCAGGTGAACTGTTCCTTCGAGCTCGGATCCTGATACGACTGGAATCAAGTCTATGTTTCTCTATGCCATTGGTGTTTGTTTGAGGTGAGGTGAGCCCTCGACGGGGCGTGTGCACCTGATGCCCCAGTGCCACAGTGAGTCCTGAGGGGAAGGGCTTGAAAGCGAGGAGTTCGGAGAGATTCCCTGATTGCGGAACCGTATGATGGGATCGTAGGTTGCAGTTCTTCTGGTTTTGAGTCCGGTGTTGTGGTGTGGTTTGTTGGCGAGCCCTTCAGAAGAACCAGCGGAAGGTGTCAGCGGCTCCTGCTGACGGTGCTCTCTGTGGGAAGACACGGTTTAGCTCGGCATAATGACCCAGTTAATCACTGAAAGCATGTGTTACACGTGTGAATAATGGTGCGAGTCACCTTCAAGATGAGGAGCAATGATTCAAATTATTGGATCGTTTAGAAACGAGAATTAAATTGGGAAACCGAACACAACAGACCTGGATGCAAACCACGTTTCAGGACCCTGTGTATGTCACTATTATTGTTGGCTCTTTGATGAATTGCTTTTGTATCCAATTATGAATTTGATTTTGGGTAATTATGAAACGCCAGCTTAGACTGGTCTTACAAGTTAGTCATCTAATTAAGACTAGATGTAACTTTTTAAAGTCCCCCTGTGGTGTAAATCCAGCTTTTAATGTTGTTTATGTGTGTATGTGGTGTTTTTAATACACTTTAATCATGTTTAAGTTGATAAGTGGACAGCATTGCTGAGTATTTCCTCCTTAAAACTGCAGTGAACCAAAGACAGTCTCAAAAACACGCTTTGAAATCGCTGACGTCACAAACGACCTTGTAACCAATCAGATCAACGTGTGATAGTCAACCAGTGGATCTCTGAGTGAGTGGAGGCAGGGCTCATTTGCATATGCATAGAACCGCGCATACTAAATGAGGCGAGGGTGTCGAGTTACATTCGAGATTTTAAAGGCATGAAGAAACAAAAAAGCATTAACATGTCATCAAAGATTTACAACTTTAGCAAAGTGGTTATGTTCATTCAACTGGCCTTTGATAGAGTTTGTAAGGATTGAACAACTGAAGAACAATAGACGCCAAATAGCACGTAAACTAACAGTCTGTGCTGCTAGTGCTAACAGATTTATTCAGTGTCATCACTAGGACTTTTCACAGTGAATGATGCACTGTGATTTGACTGGTCAACTGTAGTATCACTTACTGCATGTTTCTCTCTAGCAACAGTCTTGAACAGCTAGTTTACTTAGGCGTACCTGTAGCTCAAACAGCGGAGCATGGCGTTGACATTGGTGCCTTTGGATAAAAGCACCTGCTAAAAGCTTAAATGTAATGTTTTCAAACAGTTCCCAGAACCTCCTCAGCAGTGCACATTTGAGATGTTTTCCTTAAAGTCCCTCTGTAGTCAATAATTTGATCCCTTAAAACTCAGCTTCGATCATTAAATTACAAATTCAAACGTTTTTTCCTTTTATTTTCCAAAAATTCTTCTTGCTTTAAAACATCTTGAATGTAACTCGACACCCTTGCCTCATTTAGTATGCGTGGTTCTATGAATATGCAAATAAGCCCCGCCTCCACTCACTCACGAGTGAGGTTGACGATCACACGTTGATCTGATTGGTTACAAGGTGGTTTGTGACGTCAGAAACACCAGCGATTTCAAAGCGTGTTTTTGAGACTGTCTTTTGTTTTAAGCAGAAAATACTCAGCAATTCTGCCCACTTATGAACTTACACATGGTGTGTGTTAAAGCGTATTAAAAACACCACATACACACATAAACAACATTAAACGCTGGATTTACACCACAGGGGGACTTTGATTGTTATTAAATGGAGACATCCCAAATGTGCAGTGCTGAGGAACAAACACTAAATTAACGGCTGATATAGTGTGAACGAGCCTTTAAACTCTTCCTGTCTAAAGGTGCACTTCCATTCCCAGTTCGCACAGGCGAAATCCAGTCATTTCAATGGGATTCCATGTGATTGGCATATTTGCGTGAGGAAGAAAAATTTCCACATGCAGATTTTAGGTGTCAATAGAGCTTTTTGCCTGTGAAATTTCATTAATATGGCCGCACCATAAATTGTCAGAATAAGCTGCAATGTTGACCAGGTTTCACGCAGAACAAGATCTGATGGTGCTGGACTGGTTTGTGATGGTCTGATCTTGATTCTAGTGACTGGTGTTAGCGGGTTGTGAATAAATTAAGACATCTTTGTATTGTTACAGTGAACTTACAACGTGTTGCCTCATCTCTCAGCCCTCAATACTGACAGTGTGTGTGTGTGTGTGTGTGTGTGTGTAAGAGCGATGAAGTGTGTGCTTGAGTGCAAGGGCATTTTTCCAGCATAAGAGGGCTTAAACCATCAGCTAACACACACACACACACATTAATGCACGGTGGTTAATTATGGCCGCTTGTGCCAAGACTGGGCTCCACTCCAAACCCCCCGCCACATCATTCCCAATTAAACAGCCCACTTCAATAGACCTCCCAGCATATGTGTGAGTGTGTGTGTGTGTGTGTGTGTGTGTGTGTGAGAATCCCACCTCCATCGTGCTGCCCGGCTTCTTCTTGAGTTCTTCGCACTTTCTGAACTTGCAAATCTGATGACCCGTCTTTCTGTTCCGACAGGAGCTGCACACGCCGCAGTTAATGAGCCTTCTGCAGGGGGCGCAGACGCCACACCGCTTGCGTTTACGTTTAGCCGCTCCGCTACCGTTGCTGTTCCCGCTGCTGCAACTCCCGTTACCGTTCCCGTTCAGAGCCGCGGGCGACCCGGAGCAAGACGAGCCGCTGTGCTGGCAGTCCGCCGCCACGTTAGCGATCTGAAATGCGCTGTCTGACATCGTAACCCCGGATGACCCTGCACCGGAGTGAAGCGTCGTCATGACGATGACCCCTGGCGGTAACGACAGCCCCCCCAAAGGGGGCATCCCTCCAAAGGTCCCGCCTCGATCCGCCTCCCCGGGCGGCCCCGACGGCGGGCACTTCAGTCGGTTCATGCAGTCGGCGCCCGTTACGGGGAGACCGCGGCACTGCTCCGCGGACAGCGGCGATAGGAAGTTGTCACCCATCGAGAGGGCGGAGTCTTGTGGAATGTGTTTGGCGGACATGTGCACGTTCACCTGCTCCGCCCTTGACATGCCTGTCCGATGTGTGTGAGGTCCGTTTACGTTAACCGTGGCGGGCTTTCGCCCCCATAGCATGGCGTTGTCACACGGCCAGGGTGGCATCGCGGATAAGCGTGCTGATGGGAATAGGGGCGTGGCGATTCGTGCGATTTTCGCAGTTTGGGGAAACGGCGTGGCGCCGGCGGCCGTGCTGTTCTTATAGAAGGTGGCGAACGAGCGGTAACGCTCCATCTGCGCACTGTAGTCCAACACCGGGTTCATGCACGAGTCGATCTGAAGAGGAAAGTCCCGTCCGGGGGTGGGGTTGTAGTTGTGGGTGTGGCCGTGGGCGTGGCCATGAGCGTGTGGAGTTTCCATGCACACACTACTGCTCATGTTCGCCATCAGAGCAAAACAAACACGCACTAACGCCCAACCATCCACGGCAGTGGTCCTGTGGAGGAAAGAGGTGGAGGTGAACAGAGATGTTCGTCAACTGAAGGTAAACAGAACATTTGTTGTATGTTTTAAAGGTGCAGTGTGTAATTTTTAGCGGCGTCTAGTGGTGAGGTTGCGAATTGCAACCAACAGAAGTTACGTTGGCCGACAGGAAGTGATGTCGTCTGAGACAGTAGAGAGAAGCCAGTTAAACAATGAGATTCCTTTACAAAGATTAATTAATCAATTAGCAATCGCACACCTGCAGGTGATAGGTGCGTGGAAGAAAAGACCAAATGAGTCAGGTCAAAAATTAAAACACAAAGGATAGGATTTCCTCTTTTTTTCTTCAAAGATTAATTCAGAAATTATATCGACTTAATTATTCAGTAAAACGATGATAATCTGAATATTATTGTTACTTGTGCATCATCATCACCGTAGAAACATGTAAGCGGACCCGCGGTGTGTGTAGAGAGAAATTCCTCATTCTAAGCTAATAAAAACATTACGGTTCATTATGTAAGCTCTTTACACACCACTGAACACATAGTTACAGTATGTATATGATATTGCATTTCTGTCAACAGATCCTTCTGAATATTACACACTGCACCTTTACAATAGCCATGAAGTCATAATTGACATTTTTTTTAGAATATTGCAGTATTTATTGTGAGTTATTTATCCATGTGCCTCGTAATCTTTAATCTAAATATCTCCTCCTTCCCAGCAACATCTCTTCTCTAATGATGAGGGCGGGGCAACCTGTCACTCACATGAGATCCACCAATAGCAAACCACCGCCATCCAATCAATTCCCCTCAGACAAAATTAAAAATAATTTTCTCTTGGATATACGTCACAACAGGGAAAAAAGACTATCGCAACTTTCATTTCATGCTGACTTTAATGGTTTCTTCCCATTTCTAAAATTATTATATACATTTTAACATTCTTTGTAAAAATTTATTGACAGGAAATATAGAATTATGTAGTCAAATCCCAAAGGACGCATACAAAATAGCTTAATGGAAATTTTAAAAGCAATTAAAAAAAAATCATAAGCCAACTAAAAAGATCCTAAACTAAATTTTTGAAAAAAGATTTTTTTTTGATCCGATATGATCTTATTTTGTTTTTGTGGATTTGAGATTAATTCCCCATAGGGTCCAATTTTTACAGAAATTCAATTTTTAAAACAGGACACATGAGATTCAGTCAAATTCAGGTAAAAACGCAGTTCAGATAAACAGCAACTGCTTTGTATGCATTTATGTACATTTCTTATGCATATGCATGACATCATTTAGAGCATTATATACAACACCATCAGGTCTGCCTTTAAATGTGTTGTTTTCTAAATTAGAGGAACAAAAGCAATAGCGATAATAAGCCGTGCAGAAGAAAGTTACCGTGTCAAAATGACTGTGTGTGTGTGTGTGTGTTTATGTGGAAGAGAAAGAGAGAGAAACGCTCCCCCCCAACACCCCCGCTACCGTCGCCTCGAGCATCAATTACGGTAATTACTCTCCGCCTGCTGCGGCACCGGCGCGCGGATCAGAGGTCATTAAGGGCGCGAGACCGCTGGACACTACGGTGCAATTAAAGGCGACGGATTAATTCTCTTGGCCATCGCACGTCAGCAGAGAGAGAGAGAGAGAGAGGGGGAGAGAGAGATGAGAGAGAGGAGAGAGGGGGGGTTGGGGGGAGGCGGAGGACGGAAAATGGACGAGCTTTACCTTTAGACTCGCGACGCTTCACGATCCTTTAACGGAGAGCATCACCGCGCGCTGATGCCGCCTCAATAATCCCCGTTACAAGAAAAAACACGCGCCACAAAACAACGAGACGCGTCCGATTTAACGATCACCGTGAGCAGCTGCGGCGCTAAATACCGAGACTAACGGGAATAATAAATAATATTGACGCCGCCAACGACGCACCGTCCTCAGGGGCGGGTATGGGTGACGGAAGGGTAGACGGCTCCTCCCGGTGTGTGTGTGTGTGTGTGTGTGTGTGTGTGTGTGTGTGTGTGTGTCGCGCTGCGTGTGGCTGACGGGGGTGTGAGGTGAGGAAGCGCCGTTGCGGACACCTCCTGATCATTGGCGGGAAATGATTGTGGAAGCGCGGGAGGCGCGAGGGGGTTGACATACGGGGTCTCGCGCAGCGCTGAGGGTAATGCGTGTCAACTCCTCGCGCGCCCCTTCTTTTCCCCGCCGTTTCCTGAATGACGGTTATTAATCACGGGCTTCGCGCCGCGTCTTGTGTGAGGGCTTTTTTTTTTTTTAGAGGAATTTTGCGGTTCATTACGGTTCATTTGCGGCTCGTTACCGTAATTACCCGCGGCACCGGGAGGCTAATTAAAACAGAACGGGTCCGAGGCGAGAAGGCGTTTCCCCCCGGCGGAGCTGGCCGACTGGGAATTTCTGTGTGTGTGTGTGTGTGCGTGTGTGTGTGTGTGTGTGTGTGTGAAAAACATTGACGCATCCGCAAGAGATTCTTTATTAGGGGATTTGAGGGGAAATCAGCTTTTGACGCCATGAATACCATCGTCATATATAACAAGAACACAAAATATGTATATTTAATGTGTGAGAATTTATCATTTATTTATATGTAAACATAGATATAGATAGATGGATATTCTTCATAAATATAAATACAAGAACACCATTATATAATGGTGTTCTTGTATTTATATTTATGAAGAATATCCATCTATCTATATATGTATGCATATACATTATACATATATATAATTTATATACAAACATACAAATAGATGGATGGATGGATATTCATGATAAATATAAATACAAGAACTATATATATATATATATATATAATTATTTATATATATATAATTATTTATTTGTAAACATATATATACATATATATGCAAATAGATAGATAGATAGATAGATAGATAGATAGATAGATAGATAGATAGATGGATGGATGGATGGATGGATGGATGGATGGATGGATGGATGGATAGATAGTCATCCGTCTTCCAGGAACAATAACACCTCACCTGCGCCCTCTACTGGCTCAGGTCTTCAATACCTGTCCTGCAGTTTAAGCTTTAGTACTGCTTTTGTGCACTAGGTGTCATTCTCACACCAGGCGCGGGAAACTCGGCTCTCCAGATGTGTTTCATGTCATAAAGCTGTGTGAGTGAGTGAGTGAATGAGTGTTTAGATAATCTTTGGGTACAAAATTGTCTCCAGAAGTCAGATAAACATGACACCTCAGGTTAATAAATATGTTTCATTATAGTAAAAGTAAATAAGGCTTAACCCCTTAACTGTCACCGTCCCGGTACCGGGACGCCTAACTTTACTTCACTATATTTCTATTAAATCCTAATCTAATTATGACAAATTATATATTTTTGGAAAGGTCTAAGACTTCTAATTAAATATTCGACCCCTGTTTTGTGTTAAAAATTATGTAGGAAGAGTAATTAATGAATTTATGACAAGAGTGCACCTAAGAAAATCTGCATCATAACAGGAGGTCTGACCTTTGTCACAAAAAGTTGATGCACCCACTTTTAATCATTGAAACTTCTGTTTTTATGCTAAAAGTTCATAATAAAACATATAATCTAGTATTTTTCAATAAAAAATAAAAAGTATAGTATAAAATTATCCTCTAAAAATGATAATATATATGTATATATTATCCTCTAAAATATAATAATATTTTTATCGCCTTTTTTTATTATATCACACATTTTAGTAGTTATCATAAATTAGGTATCATTTGAAAGCTTATAAACTCAGAATTTATCCTGTGAAAACCATTTTATAATTGAACGTTGCGTTACCATAGAAACGGTACTTATTTTATGAGGCTCCTCCCCTTTTGGGCATCCTTATTTTTCATAATTTATGATCAAAACCTTTATTAATCTTGACAAAACACATATTGTCAGAAAGGTCTGAGTCTGAAGGTTCAAAATTTTGTGACAAAATTGATATTTGGACAGAAATTTATTAATTTGTTAAGGCAGAATGTACACAACTAAATTCAATGGAATTCAATGGCACCCGGTGGCTATTTTTGGTACTACGCCTAAACAAAATCTCATGGGAACTTCAATTTTTGTGATATCAACTTCAAATTTGGAACATAACTTGGTTAGATTTATGGCTTTGATTTTATAGTAATTTTAGAGTAAAAATATTTTGTAAAATATATATTTTATATAAAATAAAAAATATATAGTACAGTATATTTGATTTACTGTGAATTAAAACTTCCATAACTTTTTCATACTTTCATTTTTTGAAGTGTTTTCACTTCAGCAATAATCTGCTGAGTGTTTTCTTTAAAACAAGACCAAACTTGGGTATATATTCCAAGGCATTCTTAAATTACAACCATTTAAGTGTGAATAAAGCATTTAACCCCCATTCTCAAAAAGGGGGGGTGACAGTTAAGGGGTTAAAGGGTTTTGGCAATTCAAAAAGAGTTTTATGTAAGTCTATGTTATGTAATCATGTCCATAAGTGTGTGTGTTATAGGTTTCATTATCTTTCATTACAGGAGACATGTTTGTACAGTCAGTTTTAATAGTTTATTTGTCCATAATGCACAATACTAAAATATGAATATTTCTGTTTCTATAAATATTTCTAAATATCAATAACACTTTACAATAAGGTATCATTTGTTAACATTAGTTAATACGTTAATTAATAACCTGAACTAACAATGAGCAATATATTTTTAAAGCATTTGTTCTTGAGTGGAAATATTGTTCATGTTAGTTCAAAGTGCATTAGCCAATGTTAACAAATACAACTTTTGATTTTAACAATGTATTGATAAATGCTAAAATTTACATTAAATAAGATTTATAAATAAGTATTATTTATTTTTAGTTCAGGTTACACTTTAATTCGATGGTCCACTTTAGAAATTTATTCAGAGGCTATTAAACATTTGGAAAATGTAGCCTATTTATTTTAAAGTTCTCAAACTCCTTTAAAACTCATCTTTGATCACCAAAATGGCTTATTTAAAAGATTTTTCCTTAAAAAAAAATGTCTTCATGCCTTAAAATTTCTTGAAAGTAACTCGACATCCTTGCCTCATTTAGTATGCGCGGTCTATGAATATGCAAATTAGCCCCGCCTCCACTCACTCGCTCACTCAGAGATCCACTGATTGGTTACAAGGTTGTTTGTGACGTCAGAAACACCAACGATTTCACACCGTGTGTTTGAGACTGTCTTTGGTTCACTGCAGTTTTAAGGAGGAAATACTCAGCAATGGTGTCCACTTATGAACACACACATGGTGTGTGTTAAAGCGGATTAAAAACACCACATACACACATTAAAATTTTAGGAACATATCCGTTAGTGTTCTCCGTCTTCCGCTCTGGAAGGCTATGACAGAAAGTTATAAAATTTGGCACACTGATAAGGACAGTCTGAACTTTAACTGTGATTTTGGAGTTTTTAACTCAATCGCTCTAGCGCCACCAACTGCCCAAAGATGCACTCGCGTTTATGTTAATAATTTCTGAACCTTAGAAACAAAATTCTTAGATTTTTTTTCAAAGGTAACATATTTTCAGTCATTAATTGGTTGTGAGGGTGTTGCTATGCACTTGCTAGGCATTTTATCCTCTGGTCTTATACTTTGGTCTTTATGCCTCAGGTTCCTCATTCAAGCACTATATAGTAAGAGTGCATGATGTATTTGAGCTGTTTTGTATTCATTTGATGCTCATCTTTCTGTCTGTTTTTTAACAAGCACACACACTTACTTTCAAATTGAAATGAAAGAAACGCTATAATTATGAGCACAGGATGTAGCTGGAGGAAATGTATAGGTTCCCGGTAAACTTTACAACCACCTAGACTAATTATAGTGTGTGTGTGTGTGTGTGTGAGTGTGTGTTTTCTCCAGGGAAACGTAAGAATACCAGGAGCAGCAAGGGCAGGTCTGAATCACACACACACACACACACACACACACACACACTCATCAAATGCATACACTCTCGGTTCCTTATTGTACAGCAGTGGAAACTTCTGACAGCTCACCCTAAACCCGATACACACACACACACTCTCTCTCTCTCTCTCTCTCTCTCTCTCTCTCTATTTCTATCTCTATTTGATATTTTGAGGAAATTTTTTGATTCTTTTGATGAGGTTTTTTCAATGAAAGTGTTCATTTGTGGATTTAAATATGTGAAGAAATTTCGTCATAAGTGTCAATTGTTGAATTTCTTGGTAGGCCAGGCAAAAATGGCAATTTAAGAAAAGAAAAAATTAAGCAAAATGTTTCTAGCAGTTTGGTAGCAATTTTTGTAAAATTAGTCAAATCTAGGATTTTGATTGATTATCATTATTATAGATTAATGCACGATTTTTTATCCTTTGAGGTAAGATGGTGTTTAAATAAGGTCCTTTGTGAAATTGTTGAAGAAGAGTTACTATTTTCTATTTTTTAAGAATTTTTAAGATTGTTTTGGTCTTGATTTAATGATGTTGTTTGGCAGATTGTAGTGATAATTGTTGTGTAATATGTAATAAAAAGGGGTTTCAAATCAAATCTCTCTCCCTCTCCTCTCTCTCTCTCTCTCTCTCTCTCTCTCTCCTCTCTCTCTCTCTCTCTCTCTCTCTCTCTCTCTCTCTCTCTCTGTCTCTCTCATACACACTCACACATGTCATCCTGAAGGCAGCGGCTGAATGAATCGCCCTCAGCGATTACACACACACACACACACACCCCTGACGCGCGCTCACGCTCTCCAGACGGCAAACTTCTGTGCGGAACAAACGAGACATTTTTCGGGATATTTTCGCGAGAAACTGAAGCTCGCGTGTTTTTACCGCGTCACTAATAACTCATAATGGACGTGACGCTCTTCTTCTCTCTCGTTTGTGTGTGTACGGCTGCAGGTTCAGCCACTCTCAGGTAAAGTCAAATGTTTGCATTTCCCAAGAATTTTTTCTTTCTTATACGTTTTTGAACAATACAATGTTGTAAGTTATACATGACAGAAATACCTAAAACAATCGCTACTTTTATAATTGGCGCTATATATTGTCATGGTAATTATTCCCGCTACTGTAGGCTAGATAGGCTATAACTACTGTTTATAATAATGTTGTTGTATATCTGTGATATTTCAACATTATCACCATTGTGATCGTGAAAAATTAAATTGTAGTTGCCATGGTAACTTTCCAACGCGTGGTGCACTTTTAATAAATTGATTAATTTATTATAACGCATTATAACGTTTCATTTTTCGTAATGTTTCAGAAATTGTATTTTTTTTATACATTTATGATGCAAAATTATGAATTAAATCTGAGATAAAAAAGAAAAATACTCGACAATTTTATGATTATTGCTCTTTAAACACTTTTAATCACAGAAATTTCATATTTAAAGTTTTCTCCTTGAAAATAAAAAATCGTCACACCTTAAAATATCTTGAATGTAACTAGACACCCTTGCCTATACGCGTATGTTTTATGTATGTTTCATATATATACATTTATGTTTTATAAACGCTTCTATGAATATGCAAATGAGCCCCGCCTCCACTCACTCAGCTCAGAGATCCACTCGTTGACGATCACACTCTGATCTGGAAGGTTTTATGACGTCAGAAACACCAGCGCTTTCAAACCATGTAGTTTTTTTTAGATTGTCTTTGGTTCACTGCAGTTTTAAGGTACAACAATTTCTTCGTACAGACGACCATTATCACAGTTAGCTAAAAATGTATCAATTAAAACAATAATAATTTAAGGCAGAAACAATGAGCTCATTGATGTAATGAATACTTGTTTGATGTCATCATGACCTCATCGTCTTCATATAGATTCACTTCATAGTTTTCAGAAGTTAGCGTTTTCGAGCAGTCAAAGTGCCGTGGTCGTGTGAATGAATGTCCAAGACACAAACAAAGTTTTATGTATTTCGTTTAAAAACTGTGTAGTGGAAACAGCCCCTAAAGAGAAAAATATCACCAAAATTAAAAACACCACGTACACACATACATAAACAACATTAAAAGCTGGATTTTCACCACAGGGGGACATTAAAACATTAATTGTCAGGGTAAACATCCCACTAAACTGCCATAGTTTCACATCTGTGATGAAGTGATGACTCATCACGTTTGTTTACCATGGTAACTTTCAAATAAAAATGAACAAATCTAAATCTGTAATGCACTGATTCTATTAATATACCTATTGTGTGTGTGTGTCGCAGGTCATCATGGCCGCTGGTTCTGTCTGATGGATTGTGTCAGACGAGAGACTCTCAGGGACGATGCAGACGTGAGTGAACACACACTCACACTCTCACACACACACACACACACACTCACTCACTCTCCCACACACACACACTCATGTTGATTTATTGTGTCTGGTTTGTGTAGCCGTGTGTGTGTCGGGGTGTAAACATGGCGAGTGTGTTGGACCAGATCAGTGTCATTGTCATCCAGGATTCACCGGCAAGACCTGCAACCGAGGTACAAGTGTGTGTGTGTGCGTCTGTGTGTGTGTGTGTGTGTGTGTGTTCAACACATCTTATTAGTCTTTCTCACCAGGGTTATTATAACTAACTAAAATTAAAACCATAAATAAATGGTTTACTGGAAATAAAATAAAAAATAAAATAATTTTTAGGTGGTTTTAATTTTTAGGTGGTAAAAATAATTCAATTCTAATAATTTAATTCTAAAAATAATTAAATATATATACAGTATATATATAATATTTTCTCGTTTTAGAAAATATCACAATAAAAGTCGTTCCCTTGATGTCGTAAGTCGCCACGATCCCTCGCTGTGATTTAACTGAAATGAATAATTATAACGCGCGCATGCTTTTCATAAAATTTTGCTTTATAGGTTTTTAAAATATGTCTACATTAATTTTTATTTAAGTTTTAGTTATTTTGGTCCATAAAGTTTATGAAAATGAGAAATTTTGGTAATATACAAGCCAAAATAAAATATCTACTTTTTATTTAAATTTTAGGAAACAACATTTTTTCTTACGGTTTTAAAGTTTTAGTATAATATCTCTAACACACACACACACACACACACACTAGACACACTCCTCTATAAATCTCTTAACAGCTCTTCAAACTCTCAGCATAAATAAGAGCACATGTGAAAGTGTGTATGATGACATCATGAGTTGTGTGTGTGTGTGTGTGTGTGTGTGTGTGTTTTACTCATCAGCACACAGGTGCACAAACATTGGGACCAATGGCGTGTCCCGCTGGGAGTGTGTGTTCATGAGTGATGGGAGATGTGTGTGTGTGCTCATGGGACACACATTAAGAACTGATTTACAGGACAAGCCTACGAAAGCCTGTTGTCTTTGGCCAGAACATTATTATAATGGATAACAACTCTCTGTGGTGTTTGTGGAGTGTGTGTCCGGTGTGTGTGTGTTGCGTTACAGTTGTTCTGTTAGTGTTGTGGGTTCAGTCTGTTGATATTCATCTCTCATACACCACTAACACAGTTCATGAAGAATCGTATGGACCCTTTAAAGAAAACCTTGTCACTTAGGCCTGTGTGTGTGTGTGTGTGTGTGTGTGTGTGTGTGTGTGTGTGTGTGTGTGTGTGTGTGTGTGTGTGTGTGTGTGTGTGTGTGTGTGTGTGTGTGTGTGTGTGTGTGTGTGTGTGTGTGTGTGTGTGTGAATGAGTGTGTATGTGACTGTGAGTGTGTGTGTGTGTGTGTGTGTTCCTGCAGGGATGAACTTGTCAAACACATTCCACTCATTCCTGCAGAGATGCGCAGGACGTGTGTGTACATCACCTCTGACCGCACACACACACACACACACAGTTACCGTCAGGACTGTGGTAACTCTGTCTCTGTTCTGTGTGTGCAGATGTGAACGAGTGTGCGCTCCGGCCGTGTAAGTACAGGTGTATGAACACACACGGCAGTTTCAAGTGTTACTGTCTCGACGGCTTCATGGCGGCGGCGGACGGCTCGTGCAGGAGTGAGTGTGTGTGTGTGTGTGTGTCCTAAATGATAAACTTAACTTCATTATTCATTTACTCTGATTTTCTCCATGATTTTTATTGTAATTTTAATTATAGTTGACTGTTTTTGCTGAGTATATCACAGTGCATTGTGGGATTGCTGTCTCCATGAAGCATACACACAGTGCAGATGCTTAGGGCTCGTGTGTGTGTGTGTGTGTGTGTGTGCAGATGCTCGTACGTGTGCGATGGCGAACTGTCAGTACGGGTGCGCGGTGATGAAAGGAGAGGTCACATGTCAGTGTCCGTCTCCAGGACTGAGACTCGCTCCCGACGGCAGGACGTGTGTTGGTACGCATGCAGGATACACACACACACACACACACACACACACACACACAAAATACATTTACCAGAGAAATCTCTCATTTTACACTCAAAAGTCAAAAAATAGACATTTGAAATTGCATTTTGCTTTGATTATATTTTAATTAATATTTAGTGATTATTTGTATAATTTTAATAAATGTGATTTTATTAAAATAATTTTGTTGTAATATATTCAAGTCTTTTTTAAAGTGCTTTAAAACACATCAAAGCAGCTTGACTGAAAATGCATGTTTAATAAATAACATTATATATACCGTATACAACCATTATATATATATATATTTTTTTTTTGCATTGCATCATTATTTTCCGGACAATCAAGGACATTTTGTCCTAAATGATAAATATTATATTATCATATAATTATAAAATTATGATATAAATGTCAAAATTTGAAATTACTGATTTACTAGTTTTATTGTGATTTTACACTCACAAATCAAAGGATAAAAATGATAAATTTCACTCTAAAAAATGCTGGGTTGTTTTAACCCAATTTTGGGTCAAATATGGACAAACCCGAAATGTTGGGTTAAAAATGTAATGTAAAAATTTAACCCAACGGCTGGGTTAGTCCATATTTGACCCAAAGTTGGGTTAAAACAACCCAGCATTTTTTAGAGTGTTAATTTCATTATTAATTTACTCTAATTTACTCTAAAAAATGTTGCTGTAATTTTACAGTTAAAAATCAAAACATAAAAATGAAAAATTCAATTTCATTATTCGTACATTTACTCTACATTTCTCACTTTTATATTTTAATTTTTGAGTGTAAAATTATAGAGTAAATGAAAAATGAAATGAAATTTTTCCTTTTATCTTTTGATTTTTTTACTGTAAAATTACAGCAAAAATTATAAAGTAACTGAAATTCATTATTAAATTACTCTACTTAATAATTAATGTCATTTTACAATCAAAAATGAAAATATAAAAATGAGAAATAAAAATTTACTCATAATTTTTTACTGTAATTTTACACTCAAAAATTAAAATATAAAAATGAGAAATGCCATTTCATAATTCGTTCACTCTGATTGACTCGTAATGTTTGTGGATGTGCGTGTGACATTATTTCGACTCGAGTGTTTCTCTCTGTAACGTCTCAGTATTGAGTCCGCATGCTTTGCTCTGCTCAGATGTTGACGAGTGTGTGACGGGTCAAGCCAAGTGTGCGCGGTTCCGTAAGTGTGTGAACACGTTCGGCAGCTTCATCTGCAGGTGTCATGACGGCTTTGAGCTGAAGCACATCGACGGGAAGTATCGCTGCACAGGTGTGTTTAGACACACACACACATTACACTGACTGGATTAAATGCATCACAGACTCTAAACTTCAGTTTTTCCAGATAAGAAGAGATCGTCTGTTTGCTACGACAAGCCGGGACACAAGAAATGCAAATGCACACCCGGCGTTAACGGCAAGGGTTACGACTGCAAATGTACGTGAGTGTGATCTTACAGTAATTCACCACGCAATAGACTCATCATATTTTCTGTAAGAGTGTTTCATCCTTCCCTCGGGTCGTTTTGACCCGAAATATTTGAGTGTGTGAGGTGTCCAAGACCTTTGAATAGATTTTTTTTAATGGATTCGAGGAGTTTTGTGGTTGTAATTTAGAAAAGTAGCACATCCTTCTCTTGCGGGTCGATTTGACCCCTTCAGATTGAATGGATTGCGAAGAAAGCTTCAGGACACATAGAAAAAACTAAAAATGCTTAAAATTCAAACAAAAAATGCTAAAACTTTACCAAAAAAAAAAATATTGTTTCTGAATGCATACTGAAGTGAACCAGCGGAACAGCTCCTCTGCTCCATATAGAGATATAGAGTCATGAAATATCATGAGTTATTATATTTTGAAGATATTTTGAATTTAAGTTGAAAGAATGTGAGGAATGTGCTTAAGTTACTATTTATTATTTATTGATCAAATCTAGTCATTTAAAGGCAAAAAACCCCAAAATTGCAGTAAAATAGAAAATATATTATCAAAATGAAATAAAATAAGCTTTCTGGACAAACATTTTTTTGCTATAATTGTAGGGCTTCGGGTGATTTTGACCCGCGAGGGAAAGATGTGTAACAGAGTGTGAGGGAAGGATGAGGGTTAAGTGATGCTGTGTGTTTTTCTAGCTGTTGTTAAAGTCATTATTGAACCTGCGAGACCAGTGAAAGTCACAGCCAGTCCGACCACCGTCTATACGGCAACAATTCCCATGGCAACCACCAAAGAAAAGAACACAACAACAGCCATAGCAATTCCCACCACGATCGTCACTACAGAAACTTCAGTTCCAACAAGCAATGCGGTTACAAAAGTAACACCAACTACTGTTGCTATGACAACGACGGAATCTAAAACTACGACAGCCCCGACAACAGCCTTGACAACAACGGAATCTACAACTACAACAGCCCCGACAACAGCCTTGACAACAACAGAATCTACAACTACAACAGCCCCGACAACAAGCCCCGACAACAAGCCCCGACAACAGCCCCGACAACAGCCTGACAACAACAGAATCTACAACTACAAACAGCCCCAACAACAGCCCGACAACAACGGAATCTACAACTACAAACAGCCCCGACAACAGCCCCGACACAACAGCCCCGACAACAACCCCGACAACAACCCCGACAACAACGGAATCTACAACAACAACAGTCCCGACAACAACCCTGACAACAACGGAATCTACAACGACAACAACCCTGACGACAAGTCCCATGGTAACCACAACAGCGTCGGCGCCTGTATCGAACACGAGCTCCACCACGACTCTGGACAACCGCGTCCACAGAGAGAGCACCGCGAAGCCCAGAGGAGACGTACACAGTGAGCACGCAGAACATTACACATGAAGTTACACACGTCTTGTTCTGGTGATGAACAAATGTTCCTCCCGCAACGTTAGGAGAACGTTTGTTCAAAGTTATCTGGTTTTTAATAATGTTCTCAAAATGTGCACAAAAACATTATGTATATCGTTGTGGATTATTTATTTATTTATTTTTTTAAATGTTGGTTTCAACGTAAAAAAGTAAGTTATCTGGTTGCCTTAAAATTTTGAGTTCATTGAAATTAAAAATTTGAGTAGAATCTCAAATTGACAGAATCTCAAAATACTATGTTACCTGCTCCACATTAATTATCTACGTTGATTTGACAAAAGAAAAAAGTTGTATTAACAAATCATGAAAAATCGTGAAGTAATGTGTGTATGGGTTAGTGTGTGTGTGTGTGTGCTTACATAGCAAGTTCCAAAACCTTTTCCAAGCCAAGTTTTGTACCATTCCAATGAAGTAAAAACAACAACAAAAAAGAACTAAACGTACCATCTTTCGGTCAGAAATAACCGTAGGGTTAACAATACAACAACTGAGAGTTTGTTAATTAACAAAAACATTTCTGATTGGTTCATTTCTCTTCTTTTAGTTCCACGTTACGAGAGCAACCTGTTTGACTGGGACTTTGACGTCGAGCTGGGAAACACAGCGGAGTATGTGCGAGATGATCCAGGTAACATCCACAGTTCTGCCTAGGAGACCAGACAAACCAGTGGATCTTACTGACGAGTGTGTGTGTGTGTGTTTCAGCGGCTGGTGTCGTGAGCTGCTCGTTTGATGAGGGTCTGTGTTTGTGGATGAAGGACTCAGAAGGAGATCTAAGATGGGAAATCAAAGATGATCCTGCTGGTAAAACACAGAATTACACCGAACTATAGTGTTCTGCACACACTAGTTATATCTGGTGTCTGCTTAATTTTTTTTGTTCGACTGTACAACAAATGCTTTCTTACCTGTCAATCACTCTCAGGTGGGCGGTACCTGTCAGTGCCAGAGGCAACGAACAGACGAAGTGTCAAAGGGGCGCGGCTTACGGTGCCACTGGCCACGCCCACAAAGGTGTGGCAGGGCGGCGACCTCTGTCTGGCGTTTAGACACCGTCTCCACGGAAACCACATCGGCTCTCTGCAAGTGTTTGTCAGAAAGGGGCGGAGTCACAGCCCGTCAGTCTGGACCACGACTGGAGGACACGGTTGGAGACACACCCACATCACGCTCAGGGGGCGGGGCCTTGTTGATGTAAGCATGAATAATTCATCAGTTTCTACACTCTGGTTAAACACTGGGTTAAAAACTAAACCAATTTGGGTTGTTTTCACCCCAAGGGCTGGGTAAATATAGGACAGAACACGTGTTGGGTTCATTTAACCTAAAAATAACATTTAGCATGTTATAATAGTATATCCATCCTGCCGTTTCAGATTATTGATTGGGCCTATGTTCATCTTGATGTTAATATGACGTTAATATGTTAATTCAGGTTATTAAGTGACGTTGTTGTGTATCAGATTGTGCTGAAGGCCGAGAGACGGCGAGGGAAACATGGAGAAATCTCAGTGGATGATTTTAGTCTGAGACGAGGAGCCTGCAGTGATAGAGACGACAGGGCAGATCAGTGACACACACACACACACACTCACTAGATTATGTTTGTCTTCCAAGTTAATGGTATACATATATTTTATTTTATTTTATTTGAAGGAATATTCCAAAAGACTATTTCAAAATTCAGTATTTGTGGTGAAATGTGACCTGACATGTTCAGTGAGAGTCAACAACACACTTGCATGTGTTTGTTTCAGTGGTTTGATTAATGTTTATATTTTTATACCTCAGTAGATCAGTAATAATTAGTGTTAATGAATCTGAATTATCAGGGGCCTTGTCATTTAAATTATTTATAAATAATAAATATTTTTCCTGTTTTTAAAAAAAAAATCTGCTTCTGTTCATGTTTTTTTTTTCCCGTTGTTTCTCACTCCTCGCCGTTACTGCGATCATGAAGTGTTCCTGACGTGTGTGTGTTGTAAATGCGTTCTGTTTTTGCTTCAGTATTGTGTCTGAGTTTGTATTTATAGCTTAAAGTTCTTTATAAAGCGCTTTGAGTGCCGAGAAAAGCGCTATATTTAAATGTAATGAATTATTATGAATTATAAACTCGAAGCAAAACCTCCGATGTTGATCATTTTGATTAATCTGACTGCTATTAATGTGAATGTTAGTTGTTCTGCATTTTAGTGCTTTTGGCAGTGTGTGTGTGAGTGTGTGTGTGATGGGTAGGTTTCGGGGTCGTGTGTGTGATAGGCATTGGACAGGTTTAGGGGACGGGTTAGTGTGTGTGTGTAGGGTTAGTGAGGGGACAGAATTTACCGTTTTTACAGTATGAAAACCAATGTCCCCGTTTAGATAGCTAAAGTAAATGTGTGTGTGATCTGAGCGGGACAGACTGAACTAAAGGTGTGTGTGTGTGTGTGTGTGTGTGTGTGTGTGTGTGTGTAACATGAAGCAGACCATCACAACATTATCATTCATAAACAGTGTGTGTCATCAGTCGCGGGTTCATCTCAGTGAGCTGCACTCACAGGCGCCATGGAAACGGGCTAGCAAACAAAAACAAACACTAGCATTAATATGGATGAGGCCTTTTCTTGAAGTGAAAATGAAAGGGAAAAAACACTACTTTCGAAAGCCGATTGCGTCTCCAAATGTGTTCTTCGTTTCCCGTAATATGAAGGGTACAATCATGGAACCTTCATTACACACTCTATCCCAGAATGCATTGCGTGCCAGTGACGACATGATTGGGTTTTTGTTTTTTGTTTTTTTTGTTTTGAGAACTTTACAAATGGCACTTTTACATGTTAGTATTGGTTTCAACTAACTCCGATATCTAATGATTTGAATGTTAAAAAACAAACAAACTTTAAAGCTGTTTAAATGTTGACTTATAACATGCTAAGATGGTATTATATATAGTTATGGACAGTAGCCTAATTATATGAATAGTTTTGTTTTCAGAAACTTTATGAAATGTACAAATGCCACGTTTTGTCGTAGGACAGAGGGACTCTGACACAACATTTGATTGCGTTATTAATCGCCTGTTGGCGAACATGTCAAACTAGCAAGCAAAGACTTCATTTTTGGTCTAGGATCAGAACAGAAGTATCTGTAAGGATTCTCAAAATTGTTGCTGCAGTTCTGCGGTGACATCTAGTGGCTGAGAAGATACATTACACGACTATAATGTGCGCTTCACATTATGTTGTAATTGTTTCATAATGTTTTAAACTGAACACACACATACAAAACAATTCTTCACTTTAGCTGTATTTGGTTTAATAAATAAAATTGGGTTATAGTTGATATTAACGTCCATTAATAAGTCTTCAGCAAACATGCGGTCCTAAATAAATACAATAAGATTAGGCTTATGTTTTGTATGGCATTATACAAATATTGTTTATTTTATATTTATATTATATTCGTTGTTGCTTGTCATCTGCTGTTTTCAAAACGATTTTACGTTTTTTTATACGATTATTATTCTGTTTTTTGCACAACAGCACGATCTGCTCTAGTTGTGTCGTGGCGCCATCACGTGGTCAACATGTGAACTGAAGTGGGATCTTATACGAAATGGTTAACACGTTTCCCAACTATTAAATTACACAAGGCATGGACAGTGCCAAACAAATGAGTCCGTTCCAAATTATTCATCATTACCCTTGTAATAATTTAAAATATTTTCCGCCCCGCCCACCTATTCGCCCCGCCCATCGCCCCCGCCCCCCCGTGAAACTCTAGAATAAACTGCAGACCTTCACACAAACAAACGCAGCCTTACACCTGTCCGAGGAGAGACACAAATGTGTACAGCTCAGGAGAATATGATACTACAAATGTGCACATGTGCAGAGAGAGAGAGAGAGAGAGAGAGAGAGAGAGACACTGAGAGACACTTCAGTCCTTCCCTTCGCTTCTGAAACACAGAACTCAATGTGCAGGTGAATATTTATCTTCTTATATCACATTATAAATGACAAATGTTTATTATAGCATGCATATAACTGCTCTGGAATAATGTTGTATATATGTATGAATGCCTTTCAGTCAAGTCTCCTTCATTTATACAGCGCTTTTAGCAATAGTAGACCGTTTCAGCTTTAGATAATATGAGATTACAGTAACAGAGATTGTTTGGCTTTACAGCAGCTCTAGAATAAAAATATTGTCCAGCTAAAGTTAGTTTTTGATTGATTTCCGTTGCAAAGATCAGTAACTAGATAACACACCGCTTTAACGGAACAATGTCATGTAAAAATAGGCAATCTCTTTTTTTTAACGTTTAACAACTTTCACCTCAGGTCCATTAAATAAACTTCACAACTAATTATATTATTGTTATTCATATTATTAATAATATTAACAATAAATCAACTTCTGATTTAAATAATACAGGAATTAACATAACATAAGCTAAAAAATAATAATTTCCCATTAAGTTATGAAAACGTTATTTATGATTGTTGTCTGAATTTTACCACACACAAAAAACGTTCCATTTTCAAACATTATGAGACTTTTGAATATTTTCTGAACGTTCTGAAACAAGTAGTTACGTTTAAAAAATGTAAGATGAACGTTCTAAAAACTGAAACGTTCTTAAAGAACGATATACAAATAATATTTTTTGAGGACATTATTAAAGAGATAATTTGAACAATCTATTAATGTGTACCGGAAGAACGTTTGTTCACAACGTTGACAGGACGTTCTGTGAAAACGCAACATTTAATTGCGTGTTTTGGTTTCTACACACCCACTTTAATAATGTAATTATTGCACATATAATACTGCATAATCGTAATTCCAGTTCCAACGCATTTATAGGTTTTCTTGCTTGTATTGTTGTGTGTCTGTGGTTTGAGAGTGTGTGTTTGTTTTGACAGAAGTGTTTGGTAGCTTTAGTTTCTGTTTGTGTGTTGTGTTCAGTGTCTGGACGCTCATGTGTGTTAGCGGTAATGGGAAGAGAGAGTTGAGCTTGTGCCTTGAACAAGTGTGTGTGTATTTATAGTAGCTGGACAGTGACAGCTGCTACACACACACACACACAAATGAATTCATGAGCGCTGATGTGTGTTTTGTGTCTCAGTGCAGATGTCTGATAAAAGATCAGATCCTCAGGATGAAGATCAGATGGAGTTCTTCACACAGCAGCTCCTGTTACTGCACGAGAAAGCCTGTGAGACACACACACACACACACACACACTAACCGTACCCCTTAACCTACCCGTCACACACACACAAACACATTAATTGTAGGCCTATGTTTATATTGTTTGTGTTTATGTTTATGTGTGTGTGTGTGTGTGTGTGTGTGTGTGTGTGTGTGTGTGTGTGTGTGTGTGTGTGTGTAGTGCTGCAGAAGTCAGTGAGGGAAGAGAAGAAACTGCTCGTTGAAAATGCCAAACTGAAGAAAGACATCAATGATCTGAAGAATAACCTGCAGGAAACACAGAAGAAGAAAGCAGGTACTTAACAGACACAAATACATGTGTGTGTGTGTGTGTGTGTGTGTGTGTGTGTGTGTGTGTGTGTGTGTGTGTGTGTGTGTGTGTGTGTGTGTGTGTGTGTGTGTGTGTGTGTGTGTGTGTGTGTAGGTTTATATTACATTGACCAAAATGAGAGTAAAACCTGAGGTCACCTACATTGAGGAGTGTGTGTGTGTGTATGTGTAGTTTTGGGGTATGGTTAGTGTGTGTGTGTGAAGAGAATATACAGTTTGTACAGTATAAAAACCATTACTTACCCACAAAGATAGCGAACCAGACTGTGTGTGTGTGTGTTTCAGTGAAGCTGCATCAGGAGCGAGTTCTGGCTGCATCAATCGCATCTAAGTCGGCCCTGTTGGGGGAACCGGCCCCGTCACCGCGCCACACCGGGGCCCGACCGGACCCGAGCTCGTCTCGCCCTGAGGGCCGGCGCAGGAGAGAGCGCAGAGGTGATCAGCAGCAGCACTGACTCTCTAGCATCTCTATGTCGTCTTTAGGTCGTCTCTAGCATCTCTAAGTCGTCTCTATGTCGTCTCTAAGTCGTCTCTAACATCTCTATGTCGTCCTTAGGTCGTCTCTAGGATCTCTAAGTCATCTTTAGGTCGTCTCTAGCATCTCTAAGTCGTCTCTATGTCGTCTCTAAGTCGTCTCTAGCATCTCTAAGTCGTCTCTAGGTCGTCTCTGGGATCTCTAAGTCGTCTCTACGTCATTTCTAGGTCGTCTGTAGCATCTCTAAGTCGTCTCTATGTCGTCTCTAAGTCGTCTCTAGCATCTCTAAGTCGTCTCTAGGTCATTTCTAGGTCATCTGTAGCATCTCTAAGTCATCTCTATGTCGTCTCTAAGTCATCTCTAGCATCTCTAAGTCGTCTCTAAGTCGTCTCTAGCATCTCTAAGTCGTCTCTAAGTCGTCTGTAGCATCTCTAAGTCGTCTCTATGTCGTCTTTAGGTCGTCTCTAGGATCTCTAAGTCGTCTCTAGGTCATTTCTAGGTCGTCTGTAGCATCTCTAAGTTGTCTCTATGTCGCCTCTAAGTCGTCTCTAGCATCTAAGTCGTCTCTAGGTCGTCTCTAGGATCTCTAAGTCGTCTCTAGGTCATTTCTAGATCGTCTGTAGCATCTCTAAGTCGTCTCTATGTCGTCTCTAAGTCGTCTCTAGCATCTCTAAGTCGTCTCTAGGTCATTTCTAGGTCGTCTGTAGCATCTCTAAGTCGTCTCTATGTCGTCTCTAAGTCGTCTCTAGCATCTCTAAGTCGTCTCTAGGTCATTTCTAAGTCATCTCTAGCATCTCTAAGTCGTCTCTAAGTCGTCTCTAGCATCTCTAAGTCGTCTCTATGTCGTCTCTAAGTCGTCTGTAGCATCTCTAAGTCGTCTCTATGTCGTCTCTAGGTCGTCTCTAGGATCTCTAAGTCGTCTCTAGGTCATTTCTAGGTCGTCTGTAGCATCTCTAAGTTGTCTCTATGTCGCCTCTAAGTCGTCTCTAGCATCTAAGTCGTCTCTAGGTCGTCTCTAGGTCGTCTCTAGGATCTCTAAGTCGTCTCTAGGTCATTTCTAGGTCGTCTGTAGCATCTCTAAGTCGTCTCTATGTCGTCTCTAAGTCGTCTCTAGCATCTCTAAGTCGTCTCTAGGTCATTTCTAAGTCATCTCTAGCATCTCTAAGTCGTCTCTAAGTCGTCTCTAGCATCTCTAAGTCGTCTCTATGTCGTCTCT